TAACCACATGCTTAAATTGATTTGGAGGGGATTATATCTCGTTGACCATGTTAAACAGCACGTAATTGTGAAACGGAAAAAAAAAAAACGAGTCATAGTTTTAAATAGTTACAAATAAAGATCCTAAAATGATGATATACATATGTTCTTTTCTTTTTTCTTACCTGATAAACCTAAAATAAAATCTTTGCAAATCACTGTAAATAAAGTGCACTGGTGTTTATTTAGTTTTTGGTGTAAATGTAACTGCTCTGTCCAGGTCTAAGACATTTTTAGAGGAAATAAATGAGCGAGGGCCAGTCAGGAAGGTCAGGTATAAATTCACAGGGAGTTTAAAAGCAACAATAGGTAATAAAAAGAATAAATAAATGAATAAATATATATATATATATATATATACACTTTCATATATAAAACATCTGAGATCTCTTATTTAACAGTATGATTGCACAGGTTATTGCACAGGGTATTAAATAGTGATTGCACATGTGAACATTTACCTGAAGTTTACTGACAGACAAGAAGTTAAGGCACTTATTGGAACGTGTCTGAACCTCTGCACAGACCTTTCTTAGTAGAAGATAGGTGTGGAGTTTAGATGTAGGCTGTAAAAGGCTAGACATGCCCCTTTCAATGCCAGCTACATTTCTGGAGGCTCTGGTTGAGTGAAATGTCTGCTTGGGAGTCTGGACCTTTTAAATAAGTAATCCCTAAAGGTTTTAGAAGCAATTTTCACCTGAAATAAATAAATAAAGTATTTCTTCCTATTAAAGTATGAATTAGATAAAGTATTTTTCACAGTTATCTGTTCTAAATGCAAACATGTAGGCAAGGCCAGGGACTGGAAATAATGTATGCTCCAATACATATGGATATTACTTCCTTTGAAAGAATGCAACAAAGACTTGGTCATATCTTTGGAAAAATAAATGGCTCTAATTTCATATGATAGCAGATATGATGTTTTTTGAGTGAGAAGATGGGAGTAGTTTTCAACGTTTGTTTTGCTCAGCCATCTGTAAAAGACCTGTGTGCGCACACAAGGGTTTATGTTGCTCTAAAACCATAAATATTTGGAAAAAAACTCCTTTGGTGACTTGTTTTGGAAACATTAAATTCTCCTCTAGTGAGCAGATTTTTTGGAGGAAAAAAAAAGTTGTTTAGTGGTGGAATTTAAAGACCTGTCTAAGCTGGACCCACCAGTGGGTCATTCATGCACAACCTAGCACACAATGGAGCAGGCTCACAGACAATGAAACCAGTAATGTCTTGTATCTTGGCAAAAAATGCACTTATTATGTTGAAGGTGCCATTTGCTGATTGTCAATTGATGAGAAACTCTGACGCTTTCACAAAATAAAGCCAATATTTGACAGAAAGTTGTAAACTTGATTGAAGATATTGAGATATGTCCATAAGATTGTTTTAATTGGAAAACTAACCTTACACATTATTCTGAATGTATCATTCCCACTGTGAAAGATGGCAGTGGTAGCATCATGCTGCAAGAAGTCTTTAATTTAGTAGAGAGTTGGACTATTTTCCAGATTGGATTAAAGGACTGATGGAGCCAAAATCAAGACAATCCTGAGAGTAAGCATTTTAGAGGGTGCAGTACACTTGAGAATGAGGAGGGTACACCCTCTGGGAAACAACCAGACAGACCAGCAATAGCATTTTTTAGATCAATTTATATCCAAGTATGAGAATAGCAACAAGTCAGAATCCTTTGGTTGTAATACGAAATTACAGAAAAAGTTCAAGGACTGCAAATACTTTTGCAAGCAATCTTAGCACAATATGTTACATAATAAGCATTATCTAAAAACGTTTGTATGTACAGTTGTATCCTTGAGACAGCTGACTAATTCATTGAGTCCAATGTAGCATTTCAAACATCCAGGCCACCTATTAAATCACTGTAAGCCTGTCTCTTGGGACATGCTTCCTTCAGCTGTACATAAAACTATTCAATCTCTCAACTCCACTGTTCTTAGTGTTCTGCACAGCAGCACATATCTGCGCACACTCACATAGCCTCTAACCCTTGGGCACTATCTTTCTTTCCTAATCTGAAATCAAAGAGAGGGTCTTTCAAAGCGTCTCACATGACAGCTCATTTTATGCATTGCCCACAGAAACAATTATTGTCATAAATCTTTAGTAACTTTGCTCTGAGCTTTTCAAAGCAGCTTTTGCCTACCAGTGGTTAAATTCCTTTAGCAGAGCCCAACACTGTACTCCCTCCTGTGTTAGGATTCAGTTGTTTATGCTGATTCACATTTAATTATGTTTATACATGAATTCAGTAAGGCCTTCCAAGTTTGCAAATAAACTCTGGAAGATGTAGTGCCTCCTGCACTGCCTGATTCGCCCCTTTCCGTCATCATAGCATGAACCTTTTGGCTCGCTTTGAAGAGCTCTCTGGTGACATGAGTGAATGATGTCATATACTTTCACAGATTTCTGTTAATGCAGTTTTTAAGGTTAACAGTTTCCAAGTAAATCCCCAAGAAAATCTCCTTTCACTAGGTTCTGTACACTTCAGCAGATCCCGGTGGAGATTGGATCAGCTAACTTCTGTCGTAACCTTTTATTCAATATGAGAAACTGCAGCCTTGCCATGGAGGCTGGGCTCTGTGTCCGTGCATGCATTTGAGAAGAGTCAGGCAGAAGGACGCTGTTTCTCTTTCATCATTTTTATCAAAACTTGAAAGAGAAATCTTAGATGTTTTTTCTTTTTTCTTTTTTTTTGTCGGTAGCATCTTCATTGGCTGTGGCATCTTTATTGCCATCCGGCATTCCTTTCTTGTCTTCTCTGAAAGCAATGTGTGTGCAAGTGAGACTGTGTGGGTGTGTGCATAGGCAAGAGATTATTTATCTTATTCTTAATCAGCCCTCAAACTGACTAATTGGTCAGTTCCAATGTTAGGTAACAAAGGGAAATCAACAATTAAGCCTGAGTTTGCAGGAATGACGAGTATTTTTAAGACACTGCTGTAGAGAAAGAGCCATCTAAGTTTGTGTTTAACTGCCTTAAACTACAAAACTGCAAAAATATGTATGCAGGCATAACATTTATATAGTCATAAAAGGTATTTACATACAACATATGAACACAGATTGTCTGATACGATAGTAGTTTTTGTTTGAATAGTCCAACCATTACTTTTGCTATGTCATATGTAAAGATAAAGAAGAAAAATCTGCTTAATCCTTGATCCGGAGAAAGCATCCAAAGCATCCTGCACATGCAAGAAAGATATAGAAAACCTGTTTGAGGTGCAAGAAATATGGTTGAATATTTTCTCTGGGTTTGCCTGTCTGTATGCCCCTAAATAAATTTTAAAAATCCCCATCAGACGTACATGCATCAGACTAAACCTTTACAATTAAAAGTTATTTAGATTACCAAAACTATTTCTACATGCTATATTCTAGAATTGATAAGAGCTATGTGTTTAGTTTATATACTGAGTATTAATATTTTACAGCAACTATTTTTTTCAAGCTGTGTGATTGGGGTCAAACACTACAGTATGGGAATATTCACAGTTTGCTCTCTTATATCTTGACTGCTTTTTGTTAATTTTTTCCTCTGATGTCACATAAGGAGGCGGCGAGTTTGATGTTTTTCCGTAAAATAACACATCAAACTCATAGAGAGCTAGAACCAAAACTCTACATGTGTTTCAACTTTGACTGTGAAATATGACTGCATATGACAGATGGAATCAGGCGTCATTTAAACAGGGCTATATCTTGTGTCACTGATAAGGTCATGTTTCACATAAACTGTCGTTCTTTCCTAATCCCAATCTGCTTCGCTTAAATCAATACCATATCACCTCTTGAGAACTATGAGTCAGGCTTTTACTTTTATCACTTCACTATCAGTTATCACAGGGTGTTGGTAATCTCTCATCTCAAGGCTTACACCGTGAAGACATTTGACAGATGTGCTTTTAAGCAACAGCAGGGTGGTGCAAAGAAGAGGTCAGTAAAATGTCTAAAGTGTCTCTTATTACCTCTTAAGTGTCTAGTAGTTTCTTTTATATGCATTAACAGGATCTGATAAACTTTCGAGCACAAATCATTTTCAAAAAGTGTATTTCAGTACCGTATTTTTCTATTAGTCCTGCAGCAAAATAATTTGATATAGTTACACCAAGAAGTAGTTGCAGGGGCGTGTTTTACTGAACTGATCATAAAAGACCAGCGTGAGAGAGTGAAAAAGTATATTTTGTACAAAATGCATATTCATGCAGCTCACCAAACCACACGAAGGTTTGAAGACTGTAGTACAAAAACATAAAAACCTACAAGTGATATATTTGTACACACATATTATAACTTTGAGAGTGTAGGAAATAACAGCCTACATTAGATTCTAACAGTTTTTTTTCAACTATTAATCTCTAAAATTTTTAGAAAATGTATTTTAAAAGCAAAAATAATTATTTTCCCTGGATCGAGAAAATCTGTAAGAAATGGAAATAGAAAAGAAAAAAAAATAGATAACATTTTGGTGTAAAATAGCATTAAGAAAAAAACAGACACACAAACACTTCATAGTCTCCAGTTGGTCTTAAGAAACCTGACACTGAAAGTTATTTACCCATAGTGGACAGCATAACACACTCTCATGAACACACACACACGTCCTCTTTTCATTCATATTTAAGCTGGAGCTTCTCTATTGCCAGATTTTATCTTACATTAGGCTACAGTAGTGATTTGCTTTCACACACTTTACCATTGTTGTAAAAGAAGTATCACTAATTCATTCTCTAGAAACATTTTAAATAAAGCAATCTATAGTAAAATTAAGAGAGGCTAGATGCTTTTGATTATGTGCGCAGTACAACAGCTGGAAACACAAGCAAGTCATCTGAGAGCCAGTGAAACTCTAACAGAGTAAATGGGAAGCTTAAAGGCATTTCAATGAAACTGGATCTTACAAGGCAGGCAACATTCTTTAATGTTATGATGTTACCTACAGGTATGTGGTGAAAGGGCTCAGGCCAGCCGGCACAGACGATAGTCCCATCTCCGAGCAGTCCACCATGATAAAGATGCCATCTTCCTCACACTGGCAAGGGGCTGGGCAGAAAGGTGCCTCTGATTCCCGTCTTTCCTGGACCTGTCCGTAGCCCCATGCTCCAGGAGAAGACCCCCAGCTTCCAACTGCAGCGCAGAGAAACAGTGCCCCAAGCAGCATGTCTGACCGTCCACCTGTCTGCATCTACACCTGCAGAGGACTTCCGATATGTTCTATGAACTGTCTTTCGAGGAAGCTGTGATGAACTGTTTCCTCTCAGATGTTCCTGTCTTCTTTTTTTTTACCTCTATTTCTCCCTCTGTGGGTTGTCCACACTGTAAATCTGTCCTGTCAGATGACCTGCTTCTTCATCTCTATTAATCTTCCTATCTCCCGGCTTCTGCTTTACTCCCCTAGAGTTCTGCTTTATATTAACTTCTCCTCCTTTTGTTCCAGTCTTCTTTCTTTTTCCATAAACAATATTTTTCTTCAAGTTGGTTTCTGTTTTTCTTTGTCCTTCTCTCTATCTCTGTGGACATATATATATATTTATATATATCTGTTGCTCCGTGTCTCCCTCTCCTTACCTATTGTAAGAGAAGTAAATGAGCCAACCTCATTGGCCCACAATTTAGGGATGGGCTGGAGCATCTCCGGAAAGTGGGAGGAGTCCACAATTCTCAAACTTCCAACTCTTCCCTCTCTTTTTCCCCTCTCTCCCCTCTTCTAATTTTGCTCTGCATTGAATTTTGGTTTTAGCCTAGAGGATAAGAAAGTTAATTTGCCGAAGGTTAAAGAGTGAGTCAGAGAGTAGATGATGGTACAGACCGGTCCTGAGCTACAGAGGACTACAAGCAGACTTTCTTAGATTAAGGACTCAAACAGCTGAATGAACTTGTGAGAGTGTCCAACTGGCGGGGACAAGTGGTGGAGAAAACTGAAATTCTGACACTTCAGCACCCTTCAGTTCCCAGAAGGAGCCGAATCTAGTGTCTCGTAAGTCGCACCTTCTCATGTTTCCCCTCGCCGGAATGTCACATTCACACACACTCACACACATGCAAACACTCATGTGTATGTCCCCTCAGAGATAAAAAGCAGATTGTGACTGACAAATCCATTTCACATGTGCTAACTCTACTTAACCATTAAATGAAATGTATCTGAGAAATTTAACATCATTTTCAGCTGTCATTGAAGATGTTCTTTAAATTTGCTCACTGCATTTAATACCAAAATGAAGCAATTTGCTAAGAGAGCAGCAGATCGAATGGATCTAATCATTAAAAGTTATCACTTATTAGAAGAATATAAAATTATTCACAAGTGGCACAATAAAAGTAGACACACAAAATAAAAATAGAGAAACTATAGAGCGACAGCAGCACAACAAACCAAACTTTTAAAATGGTTGAAAATGAGAGACAGGGGAGTCTGGCAGGATCTTGAGAGTAACAACCACCTCCTTCCTGTCTTCCATGAGTCTCTATCAAGGAGAAGGATCAGGTCCTGACTAAAACACAACTAAAATCCTATGAAACACATGTTATAGTTTGATTGAATCATAGTGGAATTTTTGAGCAAAATCTGAAATCTGGTAAATTTGCCCAGGAATACATATCACAACTGAAACACAGTGGTGAAAGCATCGTGCACTGTGCTTACTCTTCTTTACATTTCGTTGTCATGGAATTATGAGCAGTTGTAAAACTGACCCCAAACACAAAGAACCGCTTCACAAAAAGAGAATGTTAGGGCAAATTTGTTACCAGTGTATGTAATGTGACAACCTTATCTGATATAATAAGGTCATTCTATAACTATAATCGTGCTAAGATTAGTTGTTTCTTTGAAATCAAGCCTATATAATAAATACATAAAAATGTATAAAAGAATATTTGTAAAAGAGCAGCAAACAGGTTAATGTGCTGCAAACACAACATTTACACATAAATCCTACACCTTACTCTAAATAAGTGTGCATATGTTGTGCTATAGGATTTCAGAGCTGCTTGATTTTCAACAGAAAGTTTTATGCATGCATATGTTACATACATTTATCACATCCACATAGTAATTATATAGTGAGAAAATACAGTTATTATATTTAAGCAGAATGATTTTTATTCTGTCCATTTAAATAGTTCAGTAGTTTTATCCAGCAGCTGGTTCTTATAAGTAGAAATATTGCATTAAAGAAGTACTCCTGATCCCTTTTATCTGCTGATTTTTATAAGAAATGATGTCGTCTTTTATTAGCTATTATAGACCAACCAGTTGGGCTAATAAAATGCAGTGCAGTTCTTGGAAAGTCAAAGCCTGGGGTTGTTTAAACTGGGGGGGGGGCTTTCATGTTATAATATATCAAAAACCCACAAAAACACATATGCAAGGCTGAAAGCACAATGCAACATATCAGTTTATCACTTTTAACTGTCCTTATAAAGGCATCATTAGCAGTTTTTGGGTTTATAATTCAGTCAGAATATGTTACTGAAAGCATATAAGCACATAAAAAAAAGCAACCCAAATGTTTTCCATCCTTTTAGCTACGTCTGTCTTTCTCCTCAACTTATCCTCTTTCTCCACTATCCTCCAGCCTGAATAGTTTCTCATTAATTAATTAACATTCCTATGCCTCAGTGTTTTCTGAGGGGTCTTTGTTATGGCCCCACAAAAACTCTTTCAGAGCAGTTCTTCACAATGTCCCTCTCTCTTACTCTCACTCTCTCATGCTCTCTCTTATTCCCCTATTTTCTTTGTATTTGTAGTGGAAGGTTGGTCTATCAATCCATTGACAGGTTGAAAATGTTCAAAAATGTTTCTTTTTACAAATTCCTCCTTGTGTTTCCTCTGATCAAAGGCCCATCTTGCATGATCTTGGCCCACGCACAAGCAAACACAGTTTTCCCCACTGGCACTAATGGTTGTGTGCACAGACACAAAAAAATACGCACATGTTCTTTGTACACCTGCAACCTTCTCCCCTCTGCTTGGCTCTGTACCTCTTCCCTCTGGCACACCAAAACTCTGTCATCTTTTTTAAATGCTCTTTGATTGTCTGGCCTCAGGGGGCCCCTAAAACACACACGGTGCACTGTAAAAGAAAGCGGCATGTTTGGTCTCCTGCCTGTCTGCGTTTCTCTTTTTACTGGCTTCTCTTGTTTTCCTGTTTTCTTCCTTCCCTTTCAGTTTTACATAAGCGAAGCACCATGCATCCTTTCCCATATGTCAGGAATGTCCAAAGGGATTTGTTCATATTGAACGTGTTCTCACAAAGTTGATGACATGATAAGTGCTACCTGCACGCACATCAGTTTAGCAGCAGATTTGACTAATATTAGATCATTAAAACAGAAAGGATTGTCAGTGGATAAGAAATCATGGAAAACGTTCCTCCTGAGAATTAAATATTTGGTCGTTTTTTATTAAATTATTTATTTTTATTTATTTTTTTTACATTGTCTTTACATAAGCTTAATGGTGTTGCCATGCTTTTCATCCCCTGCAATAGTTGTTTTTAAATCTTGCCCTTGAGGGGCAAAAAAAGACTTGGTTTCAAGTAAGTCTTCTGTTAATAATATATTTTTCATAAAATAAGAAATAAGGGTTGCATACTCTCCTGTGATTATTGACATTTTATCTTTTAACATTTGACCTCTAGCAATCCTTTGTTCAAAGCAGACTGATTAAATTGCATTTGATGAGGAACTGATCAGTTTGTCAATTAAAGCTAGAAATTCAAATACAACACACTGTAAACATCTCTCATTTATAGATTACAGTCATGTACTATAAATTATGTTTCATGTTATTGTTGTTTTATATTACACTGCAGAAACATTATCATCTCTGTTCTAAGTGTCATTTTGTGGTAGGAGGATATTCAAATTTTGATTTTTGTGACTCTGAAAGAGAAAAACCTTGAAAGAGAAAAACATGAGGCTAAACTCCTCCCGACTATTCAGCTCTAACTCTGATTGATTGTTTGGTATCAGCCCAGATGCGCATGAAACCCCAGAATTAAGGTGAATTTTGAATAATCCGACTGCAAAATTTACAAAGGTGTACAAAGGTACAGTCACTTAAACTTGACACATTTTGTTTGCAAACCTATTCTTGCGTGTAGCGTATCCAAGTCAAAATTGGACCTATACTGACCCATTTCAATAACTGTTCTACAAGTCATTAACTGAAATTCACCAAAGATACGGAGGCTAAATGGTACAATTTACACTTGTATAACACCAGGATTATTCACTGCAAGAATTAATAATCCTAAATCAGAAAGTGAAATCGATATTTTACAACAGAAAAGGTCTAATAAAAACATAAAATAACAAATGTGTTTAGTGAAATCATTGTTTTGTAAATAAGATTACTTGTATGTTTCTGTGGTTTACTTGAAAACAATAAAAAATACTTCATTTTCAAAGGCTTTTATTAGTAATTATTGTCATGATTTTGGCACTGATGTCTGGTCTGATCACCCATTTCACTCACCTGCTTATCTCTACCCAGTCCTCATTACCGCTGATCTGTTCCACCTGCTTTAGTCTCTATTTAACCAGCATTTAGACCAGTCATCAGTGCCAAATTATTTTCAAGCCGTTGGTGAGAAATTTTCTAGCATTCCTGTATTCTGATTGCCAGATCCTGAACAGTTCTGCCTCTGGACCTCTGAGCCTGCCTGTTCCCGTCTGATCTGTTTGCTTGACCTGTCTTCGGACTCCTGCTGGATCTCTTCCTTTCTGTGTATGGAACCTGGAACTGTTACCCGACTCCATTCTGGATTCTCCCTCATCACCTCTTTGGATCTTTGACATCCTGGCTCTGACAACTGAGCATGTCACCGACAACGGCTTTGGTTTCGCCCTCTGGATTATCCTGCCTACCTTCATTTGCTCGTTTCTGGTCTCCTGTCTGTCCTCCTACCACCGATGTATCAGCATCTGGGATTCTCTTGAGAAATCTGTTTGTCCACCTCAAATCCTGAATCGGATCCTGTTGTTCAAAGCCTCACAAATTATCTCAAATTTATATAACATGAGAATGTTTTCATTTCTTTTTCTTGGCTCCACTTTTATTGGTATTCTCAATACTGCTACTGATACTCATACTCGTACTGATACGCATTGTCTTCTGCTTATCAGGGACCGGGGAAAGTAGTCTGAGTAGAGACTCCCATACTTCCCGCTCCCCAGACACCTCCTCCAGCTCCTCTTGGAATAACGTATGGTGCTCCCAGGCGAGCTGAGAAATGTAGTCCCTTCAGCAAGTCTTGAGGTGTCCTCCAGTCCTCCTCCCAGTGGGATGTACCTTGAACACCTCCGGAGGGAGCTGTCCAGGGTGCATCTGGAACAGATGTGCGAGCCACCTCGGCTGACTCCTCTCTGTGTGGAGAAGAGGCTCTACTCCGAGTCTCAGCCGGGCGACCAAACTTCTCATCCTTTATTTAAGGGTAAACCCT